AGATAATAAAAAATGAGAGGAAAGTAAAAAAGCCAATTAACATTTTTTATAATATTCCAGGGTACCAGCATCCGAAAAAGAAAAGTAGTTACTCAGTTTTTCTTAGTGCAAAAAATCATTTTGTATTACAGCTTGTGAGAGAAATGTATCTGCTTAGGAAGACAGCATTTAATAAATCTTTTTTTCTTCTTACAGGGGAGGTCATCAGAGTTGCCTTCAAGCATAACATGAATGACAACTGCCTTTCCTTCATACAAAAGTCTTTCTCTGTGTCCTAACTTTTTGGATGCCTAAAACCCTGTCCTAGATATTTATGTTTGTTCTTCTGTATCTGTGCTTCACTACCTTTTCCTAATGCTCGTAAAGTTTTTTAATGTAACTTTTCATAATCATCATAATTATTACTATGCTAGTTAGTATATGCTAGCTATACAAATACTATTTAAGAAATTTGTATTTTAGAAAAGAAAAGCACAGAACTCTTACTAAATTATTTACTTCTATCTTGGTAAACTGTTACACCAGGGTAATAGTAAAAGCTGTTGTTTTTTTTTCCAAAATTAAAATCCAAAAGTGAATTGTTAACGTTTAAAGCTAAATGCTGTCAGTAATGGAGTAATGTTCTCAGAGGGAATTTTGCTTCCATTAGCAAGACCTCAAACCAACTACATTTTTTTTCAAGTGCATCTAAATCAATAAATTACACGTATTAGAAACTGCTGGACAAAATGTGTAATGCAGTCTTGGTTCCTAAGGCATGTTTCTTACAGCACTTCTAATCTGTAATACTTCTCCTCAATTTGTATTTGTAAAAGTACTGCCACGGTGGAATTTTCCTTGATGTTTCTAAAAGGTGACCAAACGGACACGAAAAGTCCATGAACACCCAAAGATAGTTGCATGCATTGTTGTCAAGGTTTGCAATACACAAAACTTTCTAATATGTGCTTGGTCATTTGCCTTCAGTTTTTTTATAGAGCACTTTTACAAGGACAACTAATTTTTTTAATAGGTTTTTCATTTTTTTCTACTTTCTATTGTTTGTATTAATCTTTCAGAAGTTTGGAAATAAAATTCCTCTGGCCAATGTCTTTGAACTCATTGTTTAATTGTAATAAAGAGCAGATATTGTAAGGAAAAGGATACTTTGATCTTGCAGTGTGAAGGGAGGCCTCAAGCTGTTTGGCTTTTTGGAAGAGAAGGTTGCTGTTGGATTTTTAGAAAATGAGTCTTATTAGTAGAAAAATCCTTTTTATGACTGTTTTGTAAATAGTAACGTGTTACTAGGCTCACTTATATATTTTTAAACTGTAAGTAAGTAGTTTGCAATCTGAGTATTTGATTTGTGTTAATAGGGCCATGATTGTCTTCCAGGCAGTTCAGTCTTTGTCAAAAGATTTTCATTCTTATTGTCCCGCAGGAAGACACTGAAATAAGACTCATAATACTGCCAATAGTTATTGTGCCTCTAAATACAGAGAATGTCCTTCCTTGAGAGCTTTTCTTCATTCTGGCTTCCTTCCATGGTAGGCTATTTGAATATAGCAGTTTTCCTCTTAAAACTTGACACGTGCATGCTGCGGAAGCCCAGAGGAAGCATGACTATTCTTATTCTCACAGAGGTGAGCAGAGGCTCAGATTGAGGTCAAAATGCTCAAGTTGGGGAGGAATGAAGAGGGATGAGAGTAGGCATCAAAAGTCTTTGAACACCTGGCTGCTGGCTACTTCCTCCCAGGCAATCCCTTTGTATTTATCTCCTGCAATGAAACCTCTCTGTTCTCACATCTCTGTCCCTCCCCAGGCCCCTCTGCTTTCCTGCTCTCTGTCCTCTCTTGGAGCTTTGCTTCTGGAGTAGCTGCTGAGCTGGCATAAGGAGCTGCCAAATCACAGTGTGCAGGAGAGAGCAGCCCCTGCCAGCCAGTCGACTGCTGTTGTCTCTTGGCTGCCCTTCCCAGCTCTGTGTGGTTTCTTTCAGCTGGAGCACTGCAGACAACGTGTGTTGGAGGAGTAGAAATGTGATCTTACTGCAGGTCCTGACTGTACCCACAGCTTGCACGGGCAGTGCAAAACCTGTTCAGCAGTTGTGGGATGGGTTGGGAGCAAGTGGGTACCTGCAAGTTTGGTGCTTATTCTGGAGTCCCATGGGATAGAGACACAGATTCCAGTCTCTTAGACGAGTGTGCTTGCAGCACCCCTTTGCTCTCAGGGCAGCGTGCAGCTGAGCTGCTGGGTACAGGCAGGAAGAGGGAGGAGATGACAGCAGTGCCACCTCTGCCCTCCCAGAGGGTCTGTGACAAAAGCTGTGTGTCTGAATGAGCTCCAGAACAGAGTTGGTTGGCACTCAGTCTCTTGGGTTTCCATGGGGGGTCAGTTTTATGGAGCGTGCCACTGCTGGTTATTTTGTGTTGGCTCAATGAAGCAGTCTGCATGTTAGCAGCTCATCTTTTGCAGGTCCCCTTTTTTGAGGTAACTGAGGAACCTGACAAATAAGCCTGGACAGCTGTCTGCTGTTGTAGGCAGAAGAACAGGGTGTCTCTTACCTGCTTGGTCAACTGGACAATGTCTCACCTTCAAATGCAGGTGGGTTTACATTACTTTGCTGAACTGAACACTGGGATGGCTTAGACAGGGACAAGGATCACATTTTGCTGGCTATGCTTAGACAGGTGTCATCTGCAGTGGAATGGACAAACAGCTTCCTCTACTAAAGACTATCCAAGAGGGCTTGTCAGCTGAGATCTCAGCTCTCCACACACTGCACGACAGACCTTTATACCAGTCTCATGGCAGCAGGTCCCACAGGATGCCCATGACAAAGCAAATTAAGTGCACCCATCTGTAGGCTCAGTGCCTCTCATGAGCCACAAGGCTCTCTTTTCACACTGTCCTCTCTCAGTCCATCAACAAGGGTCCTCCCCATCTACAGGTGCCACCTGCCTGGCCACTGAGCAGTTTACAAATTTGATCCAAGAACTCAGTGTTCCCACCCACTGAAGGAGGACTTGTGATTAGTTTTTGGCATCTTTTTGTGTCCGAATTAGTTGCTTCCTAATCCTTCATAGTTAAAAGATCATTTAGGAGGCAGGGGGGAAAGTGCCTTTTTATAGTGCAATAATAATTTCCTCCACGTTAAACAAATTGAAGTAATGTGTACATATCTGTGAGAGACTGAGAGTCATGAACAAATACAGTAAAAAGCAACTGGTCATTGCAAGCCCCTTTCCTTATTTTCCACTATGCTCCTGGTAACTAACTGAACACACGTCTTTTTTTCCACCCAGTGGAAACTCAATGCAGACAACAGTGGCATTTTCTTTTTTAATGTAGGCAGCATGCCTTTGCATTCTACGTGATCCAAAAATTATCTGAGGTTGCATTCCATGACTGTTCACGTGGAAGTTCTGGTGTCAGCCTTTGCCTGTGGGAGAGGAGGACGCAAATTCATCACTTGGCAGTCGCAACTATAATTTACTCTACTACAATAATCTGAGACTTAGCAGTGCATGCTTAAAAGAACAGATTCCTGGGATCAGCAATTTGAGAAACAGTTCTGAAAAAAAGAGCCAAACCCGTGATGCCAAGAGATGGAAAGTGGTTAGGTCAAGTTACCACAAAAATGGGCCAGGAATAGTAAGCAAATTGAAAATTTTATTTAAGTCTTTCTCTTATTCTGGGCAGAACATGGAAACTCTGGCTTTTTTGCAATTCTACTAAATGTCTTTTTATGTTACACTTGAAAGTTTTTTTCTAAAGTCTTGCAAAAAATTGGGGTACAGCTAATCTTGGCATATTACTGTGAACTAAAATTGCTGTTAGTGCTGTCATCATAGCTTTAAAAATTCTCAGCTAAACATCAGCACTCTATTTTCTCTGAGGGACTGAAGTGTTCTCCTGTAAATGCTAGTTTTATTTTTTCAGTGAGTATACAGTTAATAAAGATCAATGTCAAGAAAGCATTTTACTGCAAGCATAAACCATAAACTTGGTGGTCTTCTTTTCTTTTTTCTTCTGCCCTGCCCACCCCCTTTCTGTTATTGCATCAAACTTAAAAGATCTGTGAGTTTGAAAGCTGAATCATCTCAGCTGAAGGCCACTGAACAGACACTGGAGCTGGCAGGCATCCTGCACAAACCACGTCTGCATTTCTGCAGCAGAATGGAGTTACTGTCTACCATTGCTCTCACAGATATTTCCAGTTTTGTTGCCAAATCTCTACATGGAAAGTGAGGGTTCAGGTACAATTCTATCCTCTCTCTTCTGTAGCTTGCAATTGAGATGACTTCTTTTTAAAAATCTCTTAGCTCTTCCAGCTGTAACCTACAGTATCTGGCACTGCCTCCCAGATGACTCATCTCCCTGCTTGCTAAAAGATCGGGATTTCAGCAAATGGCCTCCACCAGATTACACCGACAGCTACGGCCACAGCTTAGTTCTCTGAATCAAATCTATTAGAGTCCTAAATTTACACACATTTTTCACATGTTGTCCATGTTTCTGTATCTTGGTTATGATTAAAGGCTCAACACACAGTTTCTAAGGGAGCTGTCAGAAAGAGAGAAATGGAACTGAGCCCAAGTGACAAATACAAAGAGTCACAGTTTCAAGTGCAAGTGCAAGAAAGCTCTTAAGACTTCACGTGATTCTCACGGATCTAGTCCATCTTTAAGTTAGAAAAGCTGCATTGTCAGGCAGCAAACATAACTGCTTTGAAAAATCTATGAGCTTCAGTGTCTGTTTTTTAATTAATGTTTTACATTTTTTATAAATAGTGAAAAAGTACCATTGTACCATCCATGAGAACAGAGAAGCAGCAATTCTCCAAGTTCAAGGAACTAGTTTAGTAAAATTTGAAAACATGCAACAGAATCCTGAATTAGGAAGTATTCCCAAACTCTAATTACTCTCTAAAAATCTACACAAAATAGCTAATTTTATCTATTTCCCTTCAAAGAGATTAAGAATTTTAAACAGTTTGTGTAACATGCAAATCCCCATTGCATTCAGAAGAATTTAAGACGTGTTTGTCCATCCCTTCTTCCAGGGACTCTTTCATATGACAGTCTCCTTTTTTTGAATTCTGACACTTCTGCAAAACCTGAGTCTGAAAAAGAAGTGAAAAGAAAACATATGTATGCTAAACTAAAAATAAAACATGTATACAGAATTAGCAGTGTGTTTCTCAGAAGCAGTAGCAGACTTTAGCTTTAACTGATATGGTCTGTATGAAAAGTATCAACTGCCATAAAATTATATGTGTACAGATTAATATTAACTACTGCTCACTACTACTGATCAGCTTTATGCATATTGCACTGTAATAAAAATACAGGAACTTACACAAAAGAAATACATCAACTTGCACTGTGCTTAACCACAATATTTTAGTAAATAGTTTAATGCTTATTTCTATTTCATTAATATCATACTTGGTAATGATTCAGTAATTGTGAAAGTTAATTCTTTTTTACCAGATACATGTTCATGTTTCTAAGTTGTTTAAAAAAGCTACTTATATTCTTAGGATTCAGGTATTTTTACAAAAAGTGTTTTAATCATCACTTATTCAAAGTAAGTTACTGTAAGAAAATTCTGTTTAATCTTTACTAGAAGTATAGTCAGAAAACACTGACCTGAGGATTTAATCTGTTCCGATGAAAATACTAGCTTGGCATATTGGCATTAATTGTTTGTGGCTTAATAGAAGTTTGATCTGAAGCCTAAGAAATCGTTGAGTGTTCCCAATGTGTCTTTTTAACATCACTCCTTTTGCATTTTTTAAACTTGGGATTTCACATTTCTTAAATCTGGGACTTCATAAGGCTTTCACTGTATTAATGTCTTTTTTTTTTTTTTTTTTTTTTTTTGCATTAGCATGCACTATTTAGTATACTTGTTTTTCCCCTACCTAGTGAATAATAAAGTAAAATAAGTCTATTCTTTGAAAATCTAACCCAAAAATCCCTTTTTCTTTTTTGGTTTGACTCAGATTTAAGTATACCTTTGCCCTGCTATGCAAGAGCATTACAGAAATCCTCTCAGTCAGAGATCAGTGTTTTCAGAAGGCTGTACAACGTACCAGAGGAACCTGCCCTGATCTTGTGTTTTCATGAATGAGTCTGATCTAATTAATGAAAGCATTTAATGCTGTGTTGACCTTGCTGTACCATCAAGAGTTTTACCAATAGGCAGTAACAGAGAGAATAACTAGGAGTTAGGCACTTTAATTAAGAAATTTAACCTTAAAATTTGAGAGAATGTAGCATCTCACCTATAGGGAAGCAGCAGAATTTAAAAAATACATCAATATACAATGTAGCAATACTTAGTTTGACAGGGACTAGTGATGCTTTCTTACTTTTAAGATTCCACAAATACATATGGTTTATCAAAACAGGTCTCAAGCTAACTATATTTGGGAAAATAAATCAGGGATAAAAAGCTTTTCTGTAAACACCTTCTGGGTAAACAAAATCTTTAAGTACACACTATACTACCTATTTGAAGAAATACGCTTGGGAATGATTTCAAGATGGAGAGTTTAGTACTGGAGATATTAGCTAAAAAAAATATACCAAGAATAAGGGAACTGTATGAAGCAAACTTAGCTGTCAGTGGGAAATCCTCACTTCACTAATGCCAACAGCAAAACACTGCCATTAGTAGTACCTAAATTTCACTTTCTCAATTTGCTGAATCTACTTTTACTTTAGAGAAAATACTTTCTAGTTGTTTCTTCCCCTCTTGTCCAAACCTAGATATACAAAATAATCTTCACCATAACTTTAGAAATAATTCTTGCATGGGTTTTTTTGCACATTCTAGGCACTGCTGAAGAGAGAAGAGGCTGAAGCTTACAATATTGGGCAACTACACTTCTCAATGTTTTCCAAGGAAAAATAATTGCAGTAATACAGTTCTATTTTTAAAAATATAGTCTTAATTCTCAAAGCAGAAAAGAAATGCTTAGGGACATTTTACAACCAAGGAAATAGATATGCAAGTAAGTTTTTTTAGCAAAGGATCCATGCACATGTTGGGTTGGATAGCCTGTAAAAACTACTTGAAGAAAATACAAAGTCTAGTCTTGCAGATACTCCCGTTTCTAGTTGAGTTACGAACAGAATTCCAGCCAATTCTGCTTGCTTTGGACCTACCTGTTCTGTATTTTTCTTTTGTCCATAAGAATTGTGGACTTTGTTTTATCTTTCCTTTAGATTTTCTACCTATCTGGTGAAAAGTCAGACTTTGAAGCTCCTCTGGGTTGACAAAGAAATCAGAGAGAAGACCATCAGATGCAAATGAACCAAATGGGCCTGTGGATAAAGGGTCATTCCCTGGGGTCTCATCAATCAGAATTTCTGGTCTCTTAAATGCTGCATGTCCAAATTCCTCTAGAAAACTCTTAGTGCCCTCCTGAGGTGCATATTCACTGAAAGTTGCAAAGAAATCTCCTTTTTCAGAGTTTTTGGGAGAGTGATCAGAGCTGTATTGCATCCTGAAAGGCTGCCTTTGAACATGAAGAGAATTCGTAACATCTATTTGAGCAGAACATTTACAGTCCTTTGGCACAGAAAACAAATTCTCCTTCTTCCTTGTAATTATTTCAGAAGAGCATGATTTCTTTTGCATATAGCTTGGAAGATCAGAGTCAAGAAAATCCTGATGATGATTCAGTGGAGGAACTGTGGCTTCAGAATTCTTATGAGATAGTCCTGGTAAAGAAAAATTTGGAATATTCTGTTTGGAGAATGAAAAATTAGCTTAATTGCCTACATTTTATAGAAAACCAAGATGCCATTCAGCATTCTGACTGCACTCTATCTCATCAGAATAACTGACTCTTCTATGATTCTAACACACCCAGATTTTCCCTTGGTTTCAAACAAGAGACATTTTCCTAGTAGTGCAAAATATTACCTGTGCTGTTTTGTGCCTTATCAAGCAGCTGTAAAGACTGATGATTTTGTTTATAATCTGCACAGAATGTGTTGAAATTATTCCTGTTTTCTGGAGGTAATGCACCTTTCACGGCTGTTTCTAGTGGAGCAGCAGCATTTAGGTTGTATGATGACGTTATTTCACTAAAATGCTGAAGCCAAAAAAACAATAATACTTGACTGTTTTTAGCACATATCCACAGTGTCAAATATGAAAAGTTGAAGCCACTTAAAGACCTTAATACACGTTATTCTCTTACATTAGTTCAGGACTGTAGAAAATGGTGTCTGCAATGGATTGGTGCACAGAGGAATTGAATTGATGAGGGAGGGAGGAAGGGAGGGGATGGGAGGGAAGACAAGAAGGGAAGGGAGAGGAAGGGAAGGGAGAAAGAGAGGAAGGAAGGTAGGGAGGATGAGATGAAGGGAGGGAAAGACAGAGAGAGAAAGGGAGGAAAGGATGAAGGGAAGAAAGGAGGGAGGGAAGGAGGAAGTGAGGGAGAGAGGGGGGGAGGGGGGAGAGGAGAGTGGAGGAAGGCAGGGAGGGAGGGGTGAAGAGAGGTAGGGAAGGGAGGGAGGAAGTGAAGAAGGGAGGGAGTCAGGAAGGGAGGGAGGGGGGGGGGGGAGGGGAGGGAGGGAGGAAAAATCACAAAATGTTGACTTGATAAAATCTGCTGAGAATTAGAAGGCTCAATATTTTAGACATGAATGATATGATAAAACATATACATACTTTTAAAATTATACAAGAAAATGTGCAAGTAGCTTCAGATTTTTAAAAAACCAACAAACTAAAACCAAACTGTATTACAACAGAGCAAAAAGACTAATCTAATACATAAATAATTTTAGCCAACCTTTAAAACTTTTTTTGGAACCTCTGGCAGAAGTTCCTGAAGTTGATCAAAGCTTGCAAGAAACAACCTGTCCACCGAAAATCCCTTCTTTAACATAAATTGAGCAACCAGAGGGTTGATACATGGAAAAGCAAGTAGGCATTTCTCTGTCTGGAAATGGAGATTATTTTGTTAGATTGGTATCTGACAAACTTCCCCTCCCCCCCCCCCTTTTTTTTTTTTTTTTTTTTTTTTTTTTTTTATATTTTCACACACTATTA